AACTGGTGCAGCAACATAAGTATTCATTGGATGCAAGAAAGGATCTAGTTGCAAAACAGCACGTTCCTCAAACAGAACAAAACTTATAAGTGTTTCTGGCCGCATGATCTCTAGCTAGTTCTGTAATGACTTATAACATTTCTTGTGACTTTCTGACATTGCGGCCTACTTTCTTCTTGAACTCATCCCTGTTGTCTCTCCATTCTTTCTGCAACACATAATCAACAACATGTGCCAGCAGATTAGCAAGCTACCAGCATCTTGCATGACATTAAAAAAGAAAAAGATAATGAAATCAACAAAAAAATAACATTGGGGGGGGGGGGGGGGGGGGGGAAAAAAACACCCGGCCTCAACAAGCTTGAAAGCATTGATATTATACTCAAAACAATGCTCTCAACCTGCAGGTTAACAGCAAATTTGTCAGTAGAGCCTCAACAATAGGACCACAGTAACTACATTCATAGAACAATATGGATGCATAAAAAAATATAAGAAAATGCCTGGCACATTGGGTTTGTATGAGTAAACCAGAACCAAAGCAAACTGTGTTAAAAGTGAAAAATCAACAATTTACAACCTGTTAAATCAAGTCATGCATCTCTAAAATTTAGGTGGAAAGAATTGATTGCGAGCTGTGCATTTGATAATATAGCATAAGCATAGCAATAATCTTTTCAGTTAAACAGAGTCATATATAAACAAACGCATCACCAGTTCACCACGATCTTCAGTATATACTACTATATTTGAGGCAGTAGAAATGGTTGTTTCTTACAACCATTCCAAAGTCACTGTTCGAATCCTTCAGCTTTTTGCATCCCCAGTTATAAAAAAAAATAACTGATAACATTGCCTTGTAAAAGTTGGAGTTGTTCCCACCACCAGTGCCATTGATTAAAACCCTACTATTCAACCCAACTTTGCCATAAGCACCTAAAACACTAAGTAGTCCAATGTTAAAAAGCCACAGACCTCCAAAAATGAGGCAAGAGTTGAGGCTTAAATATCAGGTTGAAATAATGAGGCTCAATTCTCATGTAGGAACTGAGTACATCATTGGAAAATTCAACTATCATATTTGATCCAGATGCCGCATTCCCTCTTTGCTATCCCTTACACTCTTCATTTGAGCACTTTTCCCCATTGAAACCTACAGCAGGTTCAGACTATATCATTCAATCTGTCATTTCTGGACCAATTGAATAAGAACAGATGAATTTCCTCCAAAAAGCATGGATTTCACTATACTTACTATAAGGTTGTCCTATCTCATAAAATCTCTCCTTGAGATGAAGGAACACGAAGCAAACTAACAAGAGGTTCATGGTGCTATAGTACATACAAGAATAACTAATAATTAGGGCTTCGCCAATTGAGCAATGCATTAGTTTCCAATGCATCATGCAGGTAAAAAAATTACTGCACAATATAATAATCAGCCTGAACCCAACCCAAGCAATCTTGTCTAAGCTAGAGTTGTGCTAGGGTTTAGGAACAAGCACCTCAATATGGGCTTAGGTTGAGATCCACAGGGATATTGTACAATTCAGTCCTGCAGTGATCTCATTTCAGCCCTTACAGTTAGCCACCACCAAGCTGCACTGCCAATTATAACTGTCATCAGATGGTCAAGTCAGTGTATTAACAACACACAAACTCAATCAGTTACCATATGTGTATATCTCCAAGTTTTTCACTCTTTATCCAAAAACAATGTGCAACTCATAACTCCGAATGACAGATTCCTCATCCAAAGAATTAGCCTTCTAATAACTGAATGCTATACACTTTAAACAGAAAGGGGAAAGCTCAATGCACAATAAACTACAGAATTGATTCAGTTCAGATAATCACAAACGTAATACAGTTGCAAGCAAACTCTGCACCCTAAATATACACTATTACAACTACAGCGAAACAAGTGAAACCATAAGAGCCAGAAAGTAACATGATTTTTATTCCACATGATGCACAGAAGACATAAATAATGACAGAATGAGATAATGCATCTTGGCATCTTAAGACCATACCGTATGGACTGGATTCCAGCGCTCAGTTGCAAGCTCGTAGCCATTTGGATCGTCACCAGGGGAATGAAGAATTGAAATACAAACCTTCCCATCAGGGTAAACTGCAATATATAGAAACTTTCAGGAAGCATGACCATGATCAACTAGAGGGAAGAAGCAATATATAAAATTCAATTCAAAAACAATATACAAAATACAGTAGTTACCGTTGGGGTGCCACATCTCTGAGGTAAACCGTACTGTAGGAGGGTTGTTCGGGTAATCCTCAGGGAAGCTCATGACGGCATTAAAGAAACCACCCTCACTGCAGCAGAGGAATTATATAAACCAAATATCCAAAACTTTTTTTTGGGTTCAAAGAATGCATGAAAATGTTTTATAGGTCTGCCCAAAAACTAAGAACCACAGTAAAATAGGTGAATTTTGTGACCAGCTCCATTAATAATCAGAACCCGGAATCCCGAATATGATAGAGCAAAACTAAACATATGAATTCAAACAAGCCCAAATAGTCGTATGAAAAAGAAATCAGCATGTTAAAGAAACACAAACATGCACAGCAACACAAAGGTCGGAATTTGATTATAATGAAAGCCATGTTTCAAAGAAAGGGAAAAAACAAACGAAATCGGGTTACATACTAGAGAGTATCGGGTGGGCCAATAATTGTGACGCTCCATTCAAAGATGTTTTCTTCAACGACCAAACCTGCCGAGAATCCATCCACTGGGTGTTTGCAGAGATCTACATAAATAAATAAAAATTTAAACTTTTTTGCTTTAAAAAAACAGAGTGTAAATTTCAATCAGTATATATGGTTCAAATCCAAAATGAATCCAATTGCCAAAAACGGTGAAAAAGAAAAAGAAAAAGAAATATTTAGATTATGGTGTGACCTTTGAGTTGCTTCTGAAGGAGGAGACTGGCTTGGGACGCAGGTTGCGTAGCCATGGAAAACGCAGAGACAAGAGAGAGAGAGAAAGAGAAAGAGAGAGAGAGAGAGAGAGAGAGAGAGAGGGGATGGCTTGGCTGCTTTTGAGTTTGGGTTATATATAGAGATTAGAGAGCACCGAATTTTTAATTTTCGCTCAACTTTCTGTTTCGAATCAATCGAACAATTACTTATATTTTGTCCAAAAAAAAAAAGAACAATTACTTATACGATAAATAAATAAATAAATAAATAATCAACTCAACAATTTAAGTCAACACTTTTACCGATGCCACTTATTACCTTGTAATTTTGTGATGGCAAGCTTATAAATACGAATTACTTTGCTAGATACGTCACTTGTTCATAGCCCTAAATTTGTTCTTTTGCACTTAAATTCGAATATCTTTTTTATAAATTAGAATAATTTATAATGTGTTTACTAATCAGGAATTGAATTCCAATTTTTGGAGAATTAACTTGTTATGAATTCATATTTTTAACCAATTATATCCTCACACAATTTTAAATATTCCAAATTTGCCATCAACTTTAACCCAACAAGGAGGACATTTTAGTAATTAGCACCACTTCTACCCTAATTCCATATGATTTAGTAAACAACTGCCATAGGAATCTAGAATCTAACTCTCTTCAATCCATATAGATTAGTAAACAACTTCAATAGGAAAAAAACCATATCTCCCAAAAAACCCTCCTAGAGCCGTTTTCACTTTGAGGGGGCAGGAGGCCCTTGTTCTTCGTCTCCTCTCCCCTCTTTCTCTTCCTCCTTCTCTTCTCCAGAGACAAATGGTTTTCTCTCATAGGCGATTGTGATTTGTTCTGATTTTCCTCTAACCATCATAGGCGATTGCGTCTCAGCATTGGATCTCTACCTGCGTTTTGACGTCGGATCTCTACCACCATTTTTTTTGCGGTTTCTTTATGTTCAGAATAAGTCACAGAGACTCTGTAGGTTCTCTGTGAGTTTTCATCTCTCCTTTTGTGAGAGCTTTTCACCTCTCCTTTGTGAGAGCTTTTTATCTCTCCTTTGTGAAAGTTTTATTTGCATTGTTATGGCTTGGTTTTTTCAAGCTTTGTCTATTTTTGATTATTCTGAGTTTGCAATCTTAGTTGGGATGCATATGCTAGAGTTTATTCGATCATGCGTGATCGTTAGTGGAGGCGCACTAGATTGTCTTAATTTTGTTGTTCGACCGCTCCGTTATTGTAATCACCCTTTGTGG